TTTTTTGGATCGGTCCACCCTGATACTTTGAGGTCTGTCAACAACCTAGCTCAGGTGCTGCGGGAGCAAGGGAGGTACGAAGAGTCGGAGGTGATGAATCGCCGCGCATTGGAGGGGTACGAGAAAAGTTTCGGATCGGACCATCCCAATACTTTGACCATTGCCAACAACCTGGCTGCGGTGCTGCAGGCGCAAGGGAGGTACGAAGAATCGGAGGTGATGAATCACCGCGCATTTGAGGGGTGCGAGAAATGTTTTGGATCGGACCACCCTAATACTTTGACCGCTGCCAACAACTTGTCTATGCTGTTGCTAGAGCAGGGAAACTTTATCGAATCGGAGATACTGTCCCAGCGTGTGTTAGAAGCCCGAGAGGAAGCTTTGGGCATAGACCACCCTAGTGTGCTGTCGACTATCAACAACCTAACCTTAGCACTTGGAGCCCAAGGAAAGTATGCCGAGATGGAAAAACTACTTCAACGTGCCCTGAAAACTAGCGAAAGCTCACTCGGACTAGACCGCCCAATTGTCTGTGAAACCCTCCAGCGTCTGGCTTGCCTATATGAAAAATGGGAGCGGTATCCTCAAGCTGAAGAGATTTACGAGCAGGCCTACAAGGGCTTCTCTAAAGCTCTCGGAGACCAGCACCTTACTACCTTAGAATGTGCCAGGAGGTTGAAGTTACTGCGAGGGCAGCGACGCCTTTCCTCCAGGACCGGCCCGGTGGAAGCAGAGCGGGGTGCTAATATCGGAGCTCACCTGCGATTGCCCGGTGACCGTGCGTTCTCGTGGCTGAAGAGACTTTGGTGGTATCCTAGAGAATAGTGAAATCAGCGTCATTCGTGATAGAGATTCAGGTATGGGTGCTAGTGGTTCGGCATGCCTTCATAGGGGCGGGATGGGGTAGAGTTTCTAGGCGACTCCGTAACAGGTACGATTGTTTAGCGTAGTTTGAAAATACTTGGGAGAGTTTGGTAACTGTTTGGGATTTTATTACTCATTAAAGGGAGGTTGTGTCTATAAGCGGGGTGGTTTCCTCGGGTTGTTGTGTGCATGCGCGGAGAATAAGAATATGATCAGGGTAAAGAGCGGATTTGGCAATTATAAACTTGGAACTAAATGTATCTATAGGTGTGAAAGTTCTTGGAATCTGCAACTTGATCTACCTAAGGTCTGGGGGTTAGATCGCTATTTTATGACTCGAACACCCTTCCCTAAGTCGCCCTCCTGTTCTGTACATCAATCCACTGCACACCCGCCTTAGTCTCCCTATCCTCTTATTTCACTACGTAAGATCCGTGCTGAGTTCACAATTTTCTTACTTCCACTACAACACTCCCCTGGGTCGCGCCTCAAATGATTTCGATACAATTTCGCCACTCTTTTCCAATCTCCCATCATTTTGACTAACTTCACTGACTCGCATCTTGCTTTCACTAGCTCCGCAACCTGCTCTAAATGTTTTGGGAAGCGGAGAGTTCACACTTGGGGCGACAATCTGGGTCATTTTGTCAAGGGGATCCCTAGTGTGCCCATATGAATCACAACCGTTATAAAGGTGTTGCTTTTCTTTTTCTTCCAAAGCTAGTCCGCCCAAACGCAGGTATTCATACTGATAATTGGGGTTGTGCCCTTCCTTTCGTTTTGAACCGCGCAAAGTGGGTGCTAAAGCGCCTCGTCCCCGCTGACACTGGTGTCCCTCCAGCTTTGTTCTTCCACCCGCCCGGGTTCGGGAGGGATACCTTCCTGGCCATTTCGTGCACTCGCTAGTCCGGACTCTTTGCCCTTCTCTGGTAGGTCAGTATCCTCGAGTGATGGCTTGTGGGATTCTCTAGGTCTTCCTGGAATTTCATCGAGTGTGTCGTAAAGATTATAGAGAATGCCGGTGATAGCATAGCGAAGGGAGCTTAGGCCCACCATCAAGGGAGGGGCATGATTGAGGCAGTCACGTGAAAGAACTGTACTCGGGGGGAAGATATGGGCAAAGATTGCTCTGCTTGATTCGTTCCACGACTCACTCTGAGTCCTTTCTAACTACTCTTCTAGAACTGAAAGACCTTCTACAATTAACTCCAGGAAGTACTAATCCTCCGCACATGCCATTTATTCAACCCATCTTAAGGTTCACAGCGGGTCTTGTGCTCCGCGGTAGGGCCCGGGCATGGGTTTAGTTGGGCTGCATTGTCTTCTTCAGAGGGCTGTCGAAGTATCCAAGCAAACCCGTGAATCCGGAATGGGAGGTGGGAGAGGGCTTGTGAGTGGCCAGTAGTGGTTGACAGCCAAGCTCGGCTCTCTTAGTGAAATGCACCGAGATAGAGAAAATAGCTTAATGACTGTGCTAGTATGATAAAATAAATTATCTACCGGTAGTCTGTTGACATAGTACTCACTGATTCCATCTGGAACAGTACTTGGGTGATGAATATTAGGAATTGGCGAGATCCCTAGCTTGGTAGTCCCGTAGCGTTAGATATGCCGGACATTTTATATATACATAGATATACCATTCGTATTCGAGCTACTGAAATCACCCCCCCCCCCCCCAATCTGGATTCTTAGGGAGGGAGCAATCATGTGAAATCACTCGCCACTGACACAACATTGCATAATCATGAATATATTTAATTACCCGGGCTACAACGAGGAGTACAACTAGATGCAGCACTTTGCTGATAGTACCGAATTGATGGCCCTTGGTTCTGTGATACTTTCCTACTGGCAATGGGTCCGGTACCAAATTTGGCTAGGTTGGGTTTGAGAGAAATTGATAGATCTAGCTTCATTACCTTACTCGGATTTGCCTCAAGCCCGAACTAATGATCTTCATTGTTACTCTTCGTTGTAGTCCCGATGACATATTCGGATGTTAGTGCACCTTTACTCTCTATATCTTGAGGGAGGAAATACGGCAAAGACTGCTACAGTGAACTGAAACTGAAATGGGCATAATGGCTTAGAGATATTCCTAGAATTTGGCCTATTTGGCACCTGGGTGTGCCGGTTACGGGTCTTGGCCGCCGGCAGAGTGACAGGGGGACAGGTTATGAGCCATAGCATCACCAGGAGATAGAAGCTCTTGCGGCGCTGCGAGGTTCAGTCAGAGCATGCCAGAAGCCAAGGCACAAGACCCGCCGGGGTAAGGGAACATAGGGATAATCGAAAGGCAGGCTCCAGAGAACCATTTCTGAGCTTAAGCTAGGATAAGCAAACATCGCACCTGATCTCCTCAATCGCTAATTACCATGGCCGGCCTAGAAATAACCGGGAGGCTACTGCTCACCTACCATAGTGCCAATGAGAGTATTGGAAAAGAATGGGAGGGGAAAACTAGCCGTGGCGAGCTTGCACTTGGGTACCCCGCAGACAATTTTGGAAATATGATACCACGAAGCACTGGTCAGGCTTGCTCCTGTGAGGTTAGGGTTATGGAGTCGAAGCGTCCGGCAAACTTTATATCATAGGCTGCTACTCGACAGATTCCTCTACGCCGCATTGAGACGGAGTTCAAGACGAAAAATGAGTGTGGTTGCCTATTTGGTCTTTGATTTTAGCAACACAGCCTGCGCACACGGTGGGTGAGTTATATTTCCTTTCTAGAAATATTTTACTGCTCGCAATAGTACCTCGGGAGCGCTCAAGATTGAATTCGTAGTTACACTGTGTTCGTAGATGGAGGTTGCTACACCGGCGATATCTGGTCCTGTTCTTTGGTTATCCCTATTTTTATTTACCCGGGGGATCTTGCCTCTAGCATGCTATGCTTGACCCCCACTGTGTCGCTAGTATTCAACTGTCTCCGACTGATGCGAAGAACTCCCTATATCATTGTATTGTTTTCTGGCATTTGTGGGGGGGGGGGTTGAAACAATGATGAGTTATACTAAGGGTTGTTCTGAAGCCAAAGGAGCGATTTGTGTTGTCTGGGTCATATCAAAACTGTCGGTATTGGTGTCGTAGCTCCAATGAATTTCATTGTGGAAGTTGGGCACATGTAAATGATGTAATAGTAACATTGCGGAATGAATTATCATGGGGGTCCCCGTATTTGTGCGTGGGGATAGATTTGGTATGTTCCCTGGAACTGGTTGACCCTCCCTCTAGCACGACTAGACCAAACACGACACGGCCTCATTCTTGTGACAATAATCCACATCATTTCCATCACCATACAGACATCGATGATCTGATCTGCCTACCGCAGGGAACTGGGTCGACCTCTACGCTATATCTCTAAGCTATATGATGACTCAGCAACACTAGAATAGCAGGTTGAAATCAGGCTAGGGGTTCTACTTTGTGCCTACAATCCAATCCCATCTCAGATCGGTGGGGTTGGGGGTAATGGGCGGTTGAGGCTAATCTGTGCGACGGGTTGGTGATCATCCATTGTGGTAGGTCACATGGTAAAGTTAGTACCTAACCTGAGAGTTTCCTCGAGGTGTTGGAGGTGTCGGGATAGCGGTCGATGTGTACCGGACTTCCTTGGGGCCGGGATAAAATTGGTGGACACAGAGGTAGTATTTGGCAACTAGGCTCGGTAACAAGTTCCTTAAGTTTGGCGGGCTGGCTAAAAAATGAAAATTTAGCTGCATGCGCATACGGCCTATAAACCTCACCCCACCCCTTCAAAATCCCGTTCGCGGACTAACCAACCGGGGTATCAAACCACTGGCTTCCGTGGCGCATGCCGGGTTTGGTTCTGGGAGGGACCCAAGACTATACTCGGGCACCGTACTATCGGTGGGGTAGGCTGAGAGGACCCAACAACTTTGGGGGAAAGGGCCCTGACACCGGTATTGCACTGGATGTGGGTGGGGCCCTGAATGAGCATGGGAACGGGAGCAGAAGCTCTGGCTGATAACCAGAGATGCCTGGAGAGGACATATCGTCAATCTGTGCATTCGGCGAAATTTGAAGCGGAAAGTGGCTGGCCACCGGTGTTTGGATGCTGGAATTGCTTTGTTGCGGTATTGAATTTGTAAGTTATATGTGGGTGCCGGATTTGAGGAGGGTTTGCTTTGGTAAGATAAGGAGAAAAGTTGTTTTGAAAAGGTTTTGCTGGAATACTGTACCTGTCCGTCGCCTTATGCACCGGCTCGGAACATGCGGTCGGATTGATTTTCGGAGAATTGCGCACATGTCTCGCCTTGGAAATATGTCGGGTTTCTGTCGGGAGGAGATGCGGATGATGTGGAAAGGGCTTCCCCAGACGAGGTCGCAGCTCGATTTGCCCACCAGGAACATTTGACCGGTCCAGGGATTGTATTCCTTGTACCAGTAACTCTGGCCAACCGGGCGGTGCAGAGGGGACGTCTGAAATTTCGGGGAGGCTACTTAGTATAATAAGTTACGACATCCTGTGCCAGGGGAATCTGCCCACGGCCGCGGGGCTCTGGTGATTGCTTCGTGTGTTCAGCGGAAAGGAGCGAGTATCTACCCGAATACGGTACTCGCACCCGAACTTTCCCTGGTCCAGATCCCAACCGAAGCTGGACCAATCGCTGGACCAAGCTTACCGAGAGCTGAATGTGGGGTGGGACACGATGTACATTTTTATTTTTCCCCTCCCTGAAATGCCTCTCCTCTCCAACCCGTGATTCTGTTTTCTTATTTCTAGATTCCCACCTCCATTTCTAGGCCCTACTATGCGCCAAACGCTTGGCCCCTACTCCAGCCCACAACAGAACCAAAACCGAGGAACTATTCATTTCCATACCCGGGGTTAGAACCGCTCCCTAGCATACTCCACCTTATCGACCTACCATATTCTTTCAAGTTGGCTCGGGAAGGGAGAGTTTTCGATTATTTCGGCCAGCGACAAGGAGGCGACCATTCTCGCCCAAGCCAAGCGAGCCACAGCTTCTTAGTACTGTATCGAACCTTCAAACATGTCTTCCCGGCAAACGAAAAATATTATCGAGGCGATGGATGGGTGGGTATCCTTATCCTTCTACGCTGGCTGCACTTCTAATACCGGTAAGCTTTGTAGCATTAGTCAAGTGCCATCCGATATCGACGGGAACTTCAATGGGAATACGGGCAACCATAATTTATTTGGCAACGGCAATGTTATCTGTAGTATGCAGATTCCCCGCGGTATGACCATCTCGGGAGGGGCAAATGAAGGCCAGGTAATGGGAGTGGGGGATGGAGGTATTAACATTTCTCCGCAGATTTCTGTCCCGAAGCTAACGTGCTAGTAGAAGCGAGAGAAGAATTGAGGCAATACTGGATGGTTCCCTATTGTAGGAACGGCGCATTTACCGGTCGTGGGGGCGTCATAGAGTCGATAAAGAAAGTTTGCAAAGGTGGGGCTCATAACCGGGTCGCGCTCCATGGGTTGGGGGGCTGTGGGTATGTATTTGGCATTCCCTTGCACTTATATGAGGTTTACTAATGCCACTTAGAAAAACCCAGATTGCTTTGGAATATGTTTACCGGCGTTCTAGTGAAGGGGGACGTTGCCATGTTTTTTGGGTGCAGGGAAGTGGGATTTTGAAGTTTACGGCGGGTTTCAAGGCTATAGCGCAACATGCTCGAATCCCTCAAGTGGGGACTGAGAAGGAGGAAGAGGAACTGCTCCGGCGTACAAGGACATGGCTCGAAGGTCCCGATAGTGGCGACTGGATCCTAGTCATCGACAATGCCGACAATGAAGCCGACTTCATTGGAAACAATAGCCCCATTTCTAAGTTTGTGCCACAAGGGCGTGAAGGGACTGTGATATTCACGACTAGATCTCGGCAGGTTGCGATTCGACAGGGCTGTAGGGTTATCAAGGTTGGGGAGATGGCGCCGGAAGAGGCCCTTAGGTTGTTTTCAAAGCGGTTTGATAGCTGGCAGAGCCTGGGAGGTGAAGAAAAAAGGACCGTTTCAATGATCCTAGACTCGATGGGTCACGTACCGCTGGCTGTCGTTGGTTCAGCGGCTTTTATGGCCGAGAATGAGACGTCACCCTCTGTTTACTGGTCCATCTTCCAGGAGAATGATAAGCGAGCAAAAGAACTGCTTTCCGAGCAGTTTTCGGAAATCCAACGCGAGGCCGACATGACCGAAAGTATTCTGGGTACCTACTTTATCACTTTTGACAGAATTACCGAACAGATGCCCCTGATGGTAAAGCTTCTCGGGCTGCTTGGGTCCATCGATCGGCAGAACATACCCAAGGAACTACTGACTCATTCTGGACTCGAGGGTATGGATGATTCGCTTAAATTTTGTCGGGCGATTGGGAAACTATTGAGGTTCTCCCTGGTTACGGAATCCAACGTTGAAGGCACAACATTTTATGAGCTTCACCGTCTAGTCCAGCTCTCTATCCAGACATATCTATCGATAGAGCAGAGCAACCAAGGGAGGACTGTGGGACTGCGGGCTGTCTCAAGGCTTTTCCCTAAGTATGAATACAAGCGGCGGAATATTTGTGCAGCTTACATGTCTCATGCACTGGTATTAACTAAAGGATCAACGGATACAATTGCTGAAGACCTTTTGTATCGCATGGGAAATCATTATATGGAGATGGGCTCCTATAATAATGCCGATATTCCAGTCCGCCAATGCCTTGCACTTCGAGAAGCGGATAAAGAACGAGACTGGAACGGTGACAACTATTCTCGGATTATTCTCTTAGGAGAGTTGTACAGGCACCAAGGAAGGGCGAGGGAGGCCGAGGCGATAGTTCTTGAGGCGCTAAGGGGAGTGGAGAATAATTGGGGATTTGACCACCCTAATACTTTGACGGCTGTCAACAACTGGGCTGTGGTGCTGCAGGATCAAGGGAGGTACGAAGAATCAGAGGTGATGAATCGCCGCGCATTGGAGGGGCGCGAGAAATGCTATGGATCGGACCACCCTACAACTTTGATATCTGTCAACAACTTAGCGTCAGGTGCTACGGGAGCAAGGGAGGTACGAAGAATCGGAGGTGATGAATCGCCGCGCATTG